AGTCTTCGCCTTCCTGTGTGGCTGAAACCAGCAGTCAAAGATCTCATAGATTTCTGTTAGGATTTTATTTGACCACTTCTAACTCTTCTGAAACCTAATCTGGTGTCGGCTAACACTGCTCGACGGGAGAGGAGATGATTTGATGTGCGTAACATGTATTTAAGCTATCTAAGCCTATACTGCTGTTTCATATCCTCATCATTTGATTTTCCCTCCTTACCTAGCATTCTAACCCTCATTGTATCAAGCTACGTAACACGGAAAATGAAGACTACATCATTATACATTTATTTAGTGATTAAACAAGTACAAAACTTACCCTTCAATTATGAATTTACCTGAAGTTAATATTCAGTGAATAGCTGTCTGATTTTTCGTCTTTTATTTCTCATTAGCATTCACATTTCATTGACTGTAGAACTTCAGATTTCTGCATTGAGCATTCAATCAAAGTTTGAACAAAGACTTAATCAGCATATGACTGTTCTTACCCACTGCTTGTTTGATTATACACCAAATATCAACGCATATTGTCTTAATTAACAATGAGCTAATAGATATTGTCCCAGGAGCTTTAGACAGCTGCTTATTCTTAAACTGAGACACTCTGGGAGTGCCCACTGCCCAACGTATGGTCGAATCTAGGACATTCAAGTTAGAAGACCAGCTCACTGAACATTCAGCCATTTGAACTTCACCTACTATTCCGGAAAATGAATGTTGGGCGTAGGGCTAGCGACCCTACCCCGGAAAGTCAGCCCAATCACTACAGGAAATTGAATGCACAGAAAATATTTGAAAATGAACTAATTCTTCGTTGTAATCGGAGAGACAAAATAACGAGGGCTGCTGAAATCCTTCTGGAATCCAGTCGGCCAACGTGTCTTCTTTCAATGAAAGCAAAAATGTGCATGGGGACACGGAATGTCAGTGCAATATTCGAAGCTCGTAAGGCTGCTATGATTGCCAAAGAAATGAGAAGATACTATGTAGAAGTGCTAGGAATCTGTGAAGGCAGATGGAATGGAGGTGGACTCTTGAACTTGCTAAGTGGAAAGCCAGTAATCTACTCCGGTTATCCAGACGACAATCACAAGAACACTAAGCGAGTGGCTATTGTGATGTCACCAACAGCAGCCAAAGCTTCTATGCAGTAAGAAAAAATCTCCTCCAGGATGATGACAGCAAGGTTCAACTGAGAATGAATGAAATTTACAGTCATCCATTAATAGTACGGGTTTAGAGACAACTTGGAGCAAGAGAAGGAAGACTTTCATAGTCAATTGCAAACAGTAATGGATAACATTCTAAATGGCGACATCAAAATCCCAACTGGTGAATTCCAAACTGGGTGTAAAAAACAGAGGGGTTTGGAGAGACTCAGCGAAGTGAGTTAGGACAGAGAACTCTTCGCAGACTTCTGTGTTCTCATTGACTAGTCGACTATAATCAGCGAGTAAAAGCAAAAGGATATACACAAGTTGACTTGGGTTTCATCTGACGGATACGCTAAAACCCATGTAGACTTCAATTCAATCTTGAGGAGTTAGGGATGCAATCTTTTAGACACAAAGTCGAGAAAGGGAGCAGATGTGGACTCAGACCATCATCTAGTTCAAGGAACCTTCAAGGTGAAGCTGAAATCTATGAAAACAAATGGAGACAGACCACTGTAATTCAAGTTCAACATTCAGAAAGTGAAGGACAAAACTACGAGGAATACCTTCACTACGGATCAGATCAGAGTAGAGTCGGAGACACTATGTGGCATCACTGAGGAAACCTATATAGAAGAACATTGGAAGTAACTGTCTGAAAGTGATGTACAAGGAAACGTGTACAACTTCCTTCTGGGAAGAAGGAAGAGACAAGACAAGGAATGGCTCTCAACGGACACCTACCTGGAAGCTAATAAAAGAAAGGAGGATGGTTGGTGAGAGAGAAGATGACTCAATGCAGAGATGGACAACAAAAGGAGAAGCTGAGTTCAATGTACACTGCACTGAATCAAGAAAGACGTGAAGAAGAGTGCTAGGAGAGACAAAATACAATTCTATGACACACTGGCCGGCAATTGAAGCAGAACAGGTAGGCAAGCTGCAAGTAAATGAGACCATATTACATCATTCCAGATAACCAGGTCTCTATTCGGGGAGAGATCAACGCAGGTGAAACCTATAAAAGATGGTCAAGGAAACCTTATTACCAAAAAAGAGACGCTAATAAAGCAATGGACTGATCACTGCTAAGGACTCTTGAATCGACCATCACCTGCAACTCGTCCAGAAGCGCTGAGAACAGCACTCACAGAAGTGCCAGTGGACACCAATCCTCTATCAAAAACAGAAATCTTGAGTTCAAACAAGGCACTTTAGTCCAGAAAGGCAGCAGGACCAGATAGAATTCCTCTGCAAGCAGTGAAAACAGATCCGTAGACCTAATTGGATATACTGAAAAAAGTTTGGAAGGAAGGAAAGGTACCTAGTGATCAAATACTAAAGAAGAGCGAAATAAGCCTCTGCAAGGATTGGTGGGGAGCCATGCTCCTATCCACTCCAAGTAGAATACTAAATGGCATCATCCAGGAGAGAATAAAAGATGACGACCAGATTCAGGAAACCAAAATCATGTTCTGATCAAATTGTAAAGCTGGGCAGCATCGTCCAACACAGCAAAAATTGGCAGTCAGATCTCTAACTCAACTCTTTCGGCTGTGAAAGGCCTCCGACAGTGTTGACTGTGAAGCAGTTTGGAAACTACTCCAACACTATGGAGTGCAATGCCTCAAATCTTCATCAACCTCATTCAATGGCTATATTATAATGCCACATGTCAAGTGATTTACAACTGAGAACTCAGCTAAGCCTTTGAAAAGAAGACAAGATTGAGACAAGGTTACCTACCATCAGCGATGATATTCCTGATTGAGGTGGACTTCAATGACGTAAAATCACTGTCGAAATCTGCTGCACACAGCAAAAGGGACAAGATCCCGATTTTCAACACATGTCAAATCTGTACTTTTATGTGGTTCAGAGTCTCAGTTTGCCACAGAACTCATTTCCAGTAGACCTTCTCTCGATACTAAAGATCAGATGTCTGGCCAGATAAGGTTATCAACATTTTGGCGGGCAACGAACCAATCAAGAACCGAATGTCCAACAAATAAGCAGAAGTAAATGGAAATGGATCGAACACACCTGTTTAGGTGACCGTTCAGTCACATCACGCATCAAGCCCTCGAATGGGACTGGAGTATAAGACGACGAGTTGGGAGTAATTCCGAGGGTGACATTGAAGAGGTCGTATGAGGAGTTGAAAGCTTATGGACAATCATGGAGCCAACTGAAAAGGGTAGCAAAGAACAGGATAGAATGGAATCGTACTGTTCCACTCGGAATGTAGGAGAATAACGATGATAAATAATAATACACTAGTGAATAATGCATCTGTGAAGTGGTCTACACTTTCAGGTCTGAATTACATGGGATTCGCCTATAACTTTATTCATACATTTGAATATATTGAGACAGTGGATAGTAGTTTTTGTTTTTACTTTATAGATGAATAAAAAGCTATTATTTATTGTCAGCTTACTGACGTATATTTCGGCCAACTCAGAAGAATGAATACACATGCGATTAAGGACAGAAGTCAACTGTGAATGTGAAAAGTCCATTATGAATTGATTATTCATTAGAAATTAATAACTGTTGTGATTATTATTCTAATCCAGGTGACCCCAATAAACCGGGAAACTTCCCCTCTGAATATAAACTTCATACACTTCACTTTTACGCTTGAAATTAATACTTTTAGGTAGATAATGATATCACTAATTACTAGAAACTTCGATCGACCTGAAATTATACCAGAATAATAAAAAAGTATATAAACAAAGGGAAGAGTGGTTCTACTTCATAATAGGCTACGTAAGTCATGTTGATAGCAACAATAATATTTCATTATATCTATTATTGTATAATATTTCTCTCATTTCTTGCCTTCCGAGTGGAACATAATAGAACACTGACATATCTCCACTACACACCCTTCGTTCTCTGTCATCACTTTCAGCGGGTTCATTTGATTTCCTCACAGGTCTTTCGTCGCCGAACTTACAGCTTACAAGTCAGATTTCATTCAGCTGCCTGTTGTGTGATATGAGATTAATTACCGATTATTTTCCTTGAACAAATTTATTCACTATTTTATTCTAACTAGACATGGAGTAACTTGCCTGTCTAGTTGTTAAACTGAAAGACTCTGGCCAACAGAATGAAATGTGGCTCTTGCATTTTATATCTACCTGTATATAACTAAATAAAGTATTGAGGCATTTGTATAAGTAATTGGTATTTCTAAAAGAGGAATGACCACTTCCCTCCTGATAAGTGTGTGGTAGCAAAGACTAGGTGTCAGTTATGATAGCAGACAATGTGGATCCTTGAAGCTCTTGTTCTAGTTTCATCTGAACCGTCAAAATAGATGCAGGTAGGAGATACAGTGAGAAAACGTTGGTCGCAAATTCTCTTGTGAGTAACTATTACACGTAGTGATGAAAGCCATCTCATTCTCAATGTTTATCTCGGAAACCGATTTGAAGTTTTAGCGATTAGTTAGAACTGAGTTACTCACTACTGGACTACCGTGATTATTTATTATGTGGTGGCTGATCATAATACTCCGCCGCCGTGGTTGAAGTGGGTGAGATGGGATTCGAACTCAGGGACTACCGGATGGATTTTGAGTATTCGATCCAACGTACTTCATTTTTGACCATTTGACACACATCATTAGTATGTGTTTTATTATGTTTTCTAGAGCATTCAGTATGCCTCTGGTCCCTTTTTGTTTACTACTAAGTTTACTAAGTGATTACGTAATCTGTTTTCATAAAGAAATATTTCGGTTGAAATCACTAATTGCTTACTACTGAAATATAGATTATTATCTAGTATAATACAATCACTGTTTGTTCTATTCGATACTCATTGCAGTCGAAATAAAATGAACAACGTTTCAATGATCTTTGGCATTTTCGCTTTGTTAATCATCTCGAATTCTGTTACGGGAGGTAAACAGGAAGTCAAGAAGGTTCCATTCATTGTGGATGACAGTGGTAAGTTATTTTGAAAAGCATGAAATTATATATATATATATATATAACATTAATTACTCTCTAATGATCAATCAGAGTGCCTATTCAAGTTCCAGAAGACGTAATTAGTGAGTCTGGATAGCTCAGTGGTAATGTCTGTAACATATGCTTCGGTGGTTCAATCGTAAATTGCTCACCAACCGTGCATTTAGTCCAGGCATGATTCCTGACCGATGGACTGATATAACCTCACCTTGTACAGTGAGAAAACAAGCTGATAACTCCTCTTCGTGAGAACAATACCACTACTGAAGCTTTTTAAGTCCTACATTCCACTTGGAATGCAAATGAATGAAGATAAAAATGTTTGTGTTAAGCCTTTCAATTTCAAGGGTGACAGTTCACACTTTATCTATTTGTTTACTAGTCAATATAAAGCTATGCTTTTCTTTGAATTTCTCTTAGGTGAAATGATTCTTACAATTGATGGAGTAAAGTACTCACTAGATTCTAAGCTCGTATTGAAAGTGGATGATGGTAAATGTTGGACTAAAATTGATTTTACACGACCAACTGAAGCAGAATTGAAGGCTAAGAAGGGCACTCGTCAAGTAACTGAGTAAGTGTTAACATAATTTTGTTTTACATTTTCACAATAATAATAATAACAATAATAATAATAATTTACGCATAAACTGAGTGCAAAATGTAATATGATATATTGTCAACATGTGTCAGCATGTTACAAAACCAGATTACTAGGGGAGTAATCAGTGTCATATGTCTAGATCTTGGTGATTCTGACTGAATTCTATTAGTCAAATTTGCAGTATAGTCATCACATTAGAACACTTACCTTCACAGTGAACTTTCTGGATCGATGTTAAATAATTAGCCTAACTCTTCATATTTTGTTAAGGATTTCACCGGAAAGATCATTAAAAAGAACAGACATTCGCTACATAATGCTGAAAAATTTCACGCCTTTTTCGCTGCTGTATGAGAATCCTTAGAATTGTGCACTAGTCACTCTTTATACGGTCGAGATAAAAAACCACGAATGTCCCACTAAACGAAGTGTAATTCACTGGTCAGTGGATGAATAAACATGTGTCTTGAATTCGTTTTCAGCCACAATATCAACTTTCGGTATTTAGGGATTTGACTGATCTCAGTTTAGATTTGACGAGGAACTCATATCACTTACAATTTCATCGAAAACCAGTGAGCATTGAATAGTTGTTTTGTCCTATTTTGAAACTATTTACCAGTGCACACTCATGGGCTCTAACGTAAAATCAATCAAATCCTTACAAAACAGCATTTGCAAATTAATCCAATTTTCATTAGTGTGTGTAACTATGGGGTAGACTTTCTAGCGTTCTAATGAGAAGCCGTGACCAGTGGGATCTGCTAAGTCGGGTATGACAACAGATGCGAGCCGATGATATTGGCTGACAGTGGTGTTATAAATCGCTCAGTGGGAGGACTTGGAGCTCATGGGACGTTGCATTCTGCTACGGTGACTGAGTGGTAACGTGTCCACCTCGTAAAACTTAAGGTCATGTGTTTGGTCCCCATTGGAGTTGTAGGTGTATACTACTAAAGCGTCCTAAACTAAAACTGTTAAGCACTCTGTGGTCTTCATTGTCTGTGTAATTGACACTTGTTCTTGAAGAAGATATGCATTGTATGAATGTAAGCTCATCTCTGTACAAAAATTAAACTAGATTAATGCAGTATCGACTGTGGAGCTTCCAAGTATCAGTTCATGATAAAATGAATGGTGGCAGTGTTTCCTCCTTGTTTCATTTATTTATTCTTTACAAAGGATTGTTTATGCATATGAATATGACTGTGGAGATTATTCTGATACCCAGAATTCTACTGGCATTAGTTCTATTACTATTATTACCATTATTAATATCATTATTATTATTACTACTGATATTGATGGTAATACCTTATCCACTGAAATACCTTATTTAAAAAGACTGAAATAGGAGTTAGTCTGCTTGTTTTAAATATCATGAACCAGGGCCAAACACAAAATAAATTAAGTAGGATGTAGTACTCATTAATATGAGTAGTTAGGCCCCACAAGAACCAGCAATGCTTGCTGGTTAGCCAGACAGAAGTGATCTAAACAATGTTAAACAGATTTCGCTCGTTTGGAGTCGATGGATATACATAATATTATTGGGTTAGGAATCAAGGTAAAATTAAAGAACTGACAATTTATCAGATCGCAATCATTGGAATTCTAGTCACCGGTCATGGATAAAGTTACATAAGACAGATATAACTTGAGGTGTTCAAATGGGGATTGATTCTTGTGTGGATACTCGTACAACCAGATGATCAGTCCCAAACAGGAAGAAACTTGCATCCTGAATTTCATTGCTGACCATTAGCAGCTGTGTTTTGGACTTCTTCTTTGCATTGAAGCACAAGCTTAGATCATCTTAATATCCATTTCTACGCTGATAGGTGATTACATTGTAAAGATAACTGGGGTTCAATGCCCTGCTGACATACCCGTAAGCCTCACTTGGCGGATGATAGGTCTGATAAAGAGAAAGAGTTGGGAGTGAGGCTATCGACCCTAATCCGTAAAATCTAAACACCACTAGTACTGGAACTTCAGAGATCAAGCTTGAAGCCCCTTGTTCCACTTGGAATGCACAGGAATAAAATATTACAAAAACTAAATCAGAATACTCCTGCAGTGCTTTTCTTCGAGCTACTAATTAAAATAAAAGTATATATATACTGGGTAATATATAAATATATAACCCATTGAATGGCCACAGGAACCAATTTGCTGATATCCTCTTCTTCTATTTTATTCTTTCCAGCTTTTGTGATAAGATTAATCAACCAGAGGAAGAAGATGATAGTGGATCCGAGGAAGAAAAAGCATAAGTATTATTGTTCTTGAAGAACAAAATGATTAGAGGACATTAACTGGATATTTTAAAATTAAAATAAATTTCATTTCCCTAAAATATTTGTTATTGATCATCGTCACTAAAAATGGGATAATAGAACCGAAATGAATCGAAATGAAGTAAATTTTAATCTAACAGAGAAAATTCGTTAGTTCTCAGCGTGTAGGAAACCTCAGCCTAACAGTCTATTCCTCCTTACAAGGCTAGCACTGGTAGTGTAAGATTTCACGAAATGACCGCATATATTGTCAATTCCTGTATTCTACCCATCCCTCTTTACTGCTCCTCATTAATCTTCCCTGGGCTACTTAAGAAAGACTTTGCTTTGCTGCATAGGGCACTAAAAGCTGTTAGTAGGGCAAGTGGGATTTCGTTAAACCAACTGGTTAACACTATTGTGGATAGGCATATAATGTCATGTAAGAGACTAGCGAATTCTATATTGTCAGACCCCGAACACCCTCTCCACACGCAGCTCTCTCCTTGCATTTCATCTGGTAGAACTAGAAGCAACTGTAAGAAGCTATATGCCAGGACTACCAAGTATAAAAACTCCACAATACCATATCTGGCACAGCTGTTATGTGATGAGAAAACTGTTAGGCACGACACGATCAACTTATTGCGGCACTCTAACAAATAGTTCCCATTAGCTTTTGTTCTCCTTTCTTTGTTAATATTATATTGTTGCTCATATATTCTATTTACAGACCAATCTTATATATCATATCCTGTGGAGCATTGTTTAAATATGTGAATGCATTGCTGTTCTTTTTTTTATTTTCTTTTATTTCTCTTTTTGTTGTTGTTGCTTTATATTTTTAAATCCTTATAAAATTTATGAGGTAATTAGTTGCAATATTGTAATGAACGCTGAAAATTCCATACCTGTACCACAAATACTGTTTGGAATAAAGCCATTATTATTATTATATATTGATTTGACCACTTGTAACTCTTATTGGACTCAATTCTATGTCAGTCGACATTGCTCGATGAGTAGAAAGATGTCTCGGTATGCATAAAACTTGTCCTAGATATGTTAATCAATGAGTAACCTCCTCTCATTACCCAGTACTCTACACCTAACCTCAATATTCCTGATTGTATTATACCACTGAACAAGAAAGGATGCATAATCTTGTGGTCTAAAGTGGCTAGCTGGTATACATGCCACTTTCAGCAGGTTTGTCGCAGCATTATGCTTCGCAGTACACACTTTATTTGGTTGATAATTAGGTGTTACGTCTACGCTAATAATGACACATACTTCCAAGTCCTATATTAGGTTTTTGCATTCAAAGTGAGATTTCGTCAACAATCAGTTGGTTCCGGCTGATGAGACTTCTGAAATCAGTGAATTCACCAAAACAATGAAAATGCTTTGTAGATATGCATTACAAGTAAATTTACAGCCGTTGATTTCATATGTTTACTAATAGCAACCACATTTGGTTGTAGAGGATCTACATAGTGGGAGATTACACACGTGTTGTTTGCACATGTGAATTCATGTACATCATATTCCTCTGATATGTTTAACTCCATTGCTATGTCCTCATACAACTCATGAAGTGACGTCGGAATGATTACAGTATTACACTATATTTAAATTTCAGTGTCACTCGCTAAGACTGATTCGTTATGAATACATCTTAAATTGTTGTGCTCTGCATTACAGTTCTATAACTCGTTACTGTCATTCAACACAATAAGGAGTAGTGTTTGGATGACCTGTCAGTTCTATTGATTAACATATCCATGATCTAATTACCTGATAAACCTTACTTACTTAGTGGTTAAATGAAATAAACTGATAACCGGTTCATCTTTCAGCCTCCAAGCACAAAATTTATTATGAAATTATCCACGAGTATAGGTATACAATGGACTACTCAGTATGACTCCGTCCACTTGAAGATAGATATAACTTCTCAAACTAGAAGTGAATCCATTGAGTGCATAGCTAGGAGAATTGTTTGAGCACTTGTGATAGTGGAAATACAAGATCAGAGTGTTGACGTATTGTTTTTAGACGCCTAACCAAACACACTCAAAAAATGGATACCTTCATAGTTTCAATAACGTATATGACAGATAAAAATGTGGTGAACCTGTGAACCTGGGTGGTAGGTGATATTGCTATATGTTGAAGTTAATTTTCAACATAGAACTTTGCACTAAAGCGGGCCAGTTCAAGCTGACCGCATAGACTTCATAGACCGCAAACAAAGATAGAAAGAGAGAAGAGGAATCCAGAGAAACTATAATATACGAAAGTAAACAGAACAAACAATAAGTGTAAAGAATTAATGAAGATTTGGTGAATCTCTTAGACCATGAAGAGTGAATGTATTTGACAACCAGTTTGAACCATTTCACCAACAGTCTACATCCAGATAGTCAACGTCCTCCTACCTAGCTCAAGACGACAGTTAAATACTTCATAGATGGATACCATGTTTTGAATTAACCACTCCTAAATCTTTTACAACCCAGTCCTATTTCAGCTGGCATTGCTGGGCGTGACATAAGTGACATGGCATATGTAACGTGCTGAAAAAAGATTAAGCACAGAAATAATCATCTGAGGTAACTGCCGTATTCGTACAATTTCGTCTACATGAAACCAAAACTGTTATGTATCGACAGTGTGACTTCCGATATATCTACCAAAAATGGAATTCAAACAGCTTTTCTGACTACTATGAATTAAAGGCATGCGGTTTCAGTTTCAGAAGTTATATTGTCATTTGGACGGAGTGATAGTGAGTGATCCATCGTGTTAGGAACTTTCGTATGTTCTCGTAGCAAATTCTGGCTTGACAAAGATGAAATGCACAACTGAGGAATCTACATCATATTGGGCATGACAGTGTTTCTTCTCTTATCATTAATTAAATAAATACAAGGCTGAATCACAATCTTACTTATAATCTAAAATCCAAAGATCTGCTGACTCATTTTTTGCGCATGATAAATTGGGATGAATATCAACAAATTATTAATCAAGAGAAGTACGTTTTCAGTCACATGAAGATAAAGTCTGAAAGGAATTTCAAAAAATACGAATCTGAAATATCATCCTTGATTCATGTATGTAACCATCTATTAGACGACACCTTTCTTTACTTCAAATAGTCATTTGAATAAGAATCAGCAAAACCAATAATTATTCATTTGCTTTTATACTGATTACTGAATTTTAAGTCGTCATTGGTCAACTGATAAAGTTGACTAGTAATCGCCACATATTCCGAATCGAAGTAATGATCATATTTGCTTTTAGCTGACAACAATCTGAGATAAAAGACGACATTTCAGTTGAATGATTCAGCATGGGACATTTTTTGTCATTCCTTGCATTCTTAGTGGAACATACACCTTCAAACTGTGAGTTTTGAAGTTTCAGTAAGAGTGACAATGTTTATTTCTTATGTGGTGGATTTATAGTCTCATAATCTGCCTTTCCTTGTTTCCTGGCTTACTGGTTAGCCAAGAAAGGTCGTCGGGGAGTCGAACCTGGATGTACCACGTGGTGGACATGTATTCTATCACTGAACCATTCACGGGACACTCTAATGAAGTTATTTTTATCTCTCTCTCTCTCTCCTTTCTTGGTTGTATCTTACTATTTCTTTTTGAAAACTGTGGCAAAATGCTTAAATAAATTTCTATTTATTCAAACAAGATGAGAACCAAATTCACAATTTACAAATTAGTTGGTGATAATCCAGTTTTCACAATTCGAGATGAAATTTCACCTCAGTTTCCTTTCAAAACAGAAGTTATCCAGAACATGATTATATGCTTTCAAAGGTGAAACTGTTGTTGAAGAAATTAAAAAGCTTTCTATGCAAGTATATTTAAAGCCTGTTTCTATACCACTGGTATTCGAGGAGATATGCAATATGTCTCCAATGAAAATAAGCTAAAAATCAACCGGTGCAATCAGTAAACTAACAATCTGTGACAAAGGAACCAGAAGCAGAGCATAGATATAGTTTCTGCGATTGTTGATCTCAAAAACTGTACAATAATATTATTGAATGTAAATAAATATAGTGACAAATTATGAATAAGCCTACCCGCGTTCATACATGTCTTCGTTAACATCTATTAAACATATTACTGTACTATTTTCCAATCCTATGTAATTTTGTTTCTATCCCCCTTGACATCTACATTGACACCTTCACTACACGTTTCATCAGTGGGATTATATTGTATAATTTCACATTTTTATAGTGAATTAATGTAGTATTAACTACACGGCCTATATATTTCTATCCAAAGAACTCATTGGAAGAATAATATACTTGTTTTTATGATGTATGAGGTTATGTCGCCTAGAAGGAATTGTAACACATAGGAGTAATTGAGAATGTTATCTTGCAATTAATAATCCTCTCTGAGCTGGTTGGTTTGGTTGCGGAGCTTTCGTCGTCCTTCTGTACAGTATCTTTAGCGCAATATTTAGCATAAAGTGAAATGATTTAAATTTCTTCATGAGTGATATAATTGCGTCTCCCGGTAACCATCTTTACATATGTATTGACCATTTTCTATTGACTTGGATTTTAAACTTTCTGATCACCTGATTTACTTTTTATTAGTTGTTATATTTCGTCTATATTAACGTGTTTGTTAATGGCATTTTCGTTTGAGTACCAGGCTTCTAGGAATTCCCTGGCACTTTTGGTGGTGTTTCCTCTGTCTAAGATTTCGACATTATCCCAATCAAATTGATGACCATAATTGTCTATATGCATTGATATGAAAGAATATATATCGTGTCTTTTCACGGCTGATTTGTGTTCTTAGATTCTAATTCGAAGGGGACGCCCACTTTGGCCGATATAATGCCTGTTGCAGTTCATACAATTTATGAGTATGTTATCTTATTCAGTGAGGTTGGTACGAGGAGTTTGGATGAATTTTATTGCGAGCAAGAAGTCACGACGGTACTGTAGTATGAGTATACTATTCTTTGATCTAAATATAATTATATAACTCTGATCGGAAAACAGTCAGAGCAACAAATGGATCATTCAAAATACAGAATACGTATTTTGGGATCGGTATTTTTGATCTGTGATGAGTGTTTAGCTAACTAGAGAAATCATGTAAGAAAGCCGAATGTAATACTGTGGTGAGAGATGGTTGCTAGCCAAATTGGTTGACAGTAATTGAGGTCAATGTTAGTCATGTGAAAACAAGGTCAAGATGGACAGGCGGATACAGTTAACATATAGATGAACTGACACAGCCACAAGAGATGCAAGGTTAACTTTGTGGGAGAAATAACCAATCAACAGACTGTATTTTCTACTAACATTAACCTACAATAATGTACATCAAAATCTATAAATATGTGTTGATTTTCCGTAATAAAGGTTCTGTTGCCTGGCCCTTGCCTTCTGTTGTTACAATACAACGGCATCCCTAAGGGGTAAACTGGTTAAAATGCAATTACCCAGTGTCGAACCATAAGCCACAAAATATAGTGGGAGGGCTGATAATGTTAACCGAACCCATCAGACTCATCGGCTGGAAGTTGAGTACCTAAGCCAGTGAGTCAAATCTCCTCCAATGGCTCTGGTGCTCGGCTGTTCACCTAGTAATTGTCCTTCGATGTGAAGACGCCAACGAAACACAATCTTTTGAATACCTTGAGTAAAAATCTTTGTATGTTTGGAACACAATCCCCATTTGTCGAATGTAAGATGGTGCTGCAGGATCGGTCTGAACCCACTCCTAGCTTACAGATAGGGAGTGAAGTGGTTGATCACCTTCGGAGAAATGCATCAGCCTCAAATGGAGTGATTGCTGACGGAATTTTAGCACGGATACAAAAACCAGTGTGGAATCTACCACTATAGATGAACAGACGTGTGTACTGCGCAGAAATTCGCTGATATAGAATTCGGATGGAAAAAAGTTAGCGGTGGTCACATCAAAACTTCACACCAACCATTCATGACTGTTGGTTTAAACCGTGTAGAAATCTGTAGACTGCCTGGTTGGAGTCCTCAAGACGCTAAGAACTAACAGCTAGAGACCATTGGTGATATGACGCAAAATCGTTTTCGATAGCACAGATACATTCACTTAAACATCTCAGCTAGACAACCCTGGGGCGTTCAGCATTATTATTATTCTTTCCTTTAATTCCTAGAGGAACATAGGGCTTCAGCCGTGCGTCTCCATTGCGTTCGGTTCTCTGCTAGATTCTTCACCTGTCTCCAAGTCTGCCCACACGTTTTCATCTCTTCACATGACCTCCTCCAAGTCACCCTTGCACTGATGGCCAACTCGCCGCTTCCCTTTGGGGTTCCACTCGATCAATGGCTTGTCTAGTGATGTCACTTGATGGTTTCCTCAGAGTATGGCCAATCCATCTCCATTTCTTCCTGCCAATTTGTTTCACAATCGGTTCCTGGTTGGTTCGCTCATTGCCAGAGATCTCTGTTGCTGATCTTTTCTGGCCAGCCATCTGATCTTGAGTATTGAGCGAATACAGCTGTTAATGAAGGTCTGTAGTTTGTTTGAGATGCTCTTTATGACGCGCTGGCCAAGTCTCTGATCCGTATAGTAGCACTGACTGACTTCATATTGGAGTTGAAAATCCGGATCTTATTTTTCATGCTGAGTGCTGTTGACCTCCACACAGACTTGAGAGTAATGAAAGCTTGTCTTGCTTTTCCGATCCTTGCTTTGATATCCTCGTCAGTTCCGTCCGCCTGTAGTTGAAACGATGTTTCTCAGGTCGGTAGGTAAAGGAGGTTGTTTCTTTCAGGTTCCTCCCATTCATGCTTATTATTGTCTGTTGTTGTTGCTGCTGTTGGTGTCGGCCAGGAATCTTCATCACCTCTGTTTTCTCTATGTTCACCTGAAGTCCTATCTTTGATGCTTCTTCTGCCAACTTGTTGCTTTTCGCTTGCATGTCTTCCAGTTTGTGGGAAATCAGACATATATCATCGGCAAAGTTCAGATCCTCCAAGTATTTTGTGTGAGTCCATTTGATGTCTGTTTCCTCATTGCCCGCTGTTTGTCGCATTATCCAATCTACTGCAATCAGGAAAATCATTGGTGATAGTAGGCAGCCTTGTCTTACTCCTGTCCTCACTTCGAAGGATTCCGTAAGTTTCCCGTTGTGGATTACTTAGCATGCAGCATTGTCGTACAGCTGTTGGATGAGATGTATAATTGTCGATGGCACACCGTAGTAGCGAAGTAGTTGCCAATTCACCTCTCGATTGACACTGTGGAAGGCCTTTTCAAAGTCGATGAAGTTGAGATAGAGAGGTGACTGCCATTCCAAGCTTTGTTCAATGATGATCCGTAATGTGGCGATCTGATCAATGCATGACTTGTTTCTCCTGAATCCAGCCTGTTCCGGTCGAAGTTTTTCATCCAGGGCTTGTTTGATTCTCTCCAGGATGATGCGGCTTAGTATTTTGTGTTCAACATAGCGCAGACTAATGATGAAAAACATCATTGATTGGTAGAATCGCTGTGGTCCAACGACTCCTAACCACTTTGTTAAGTTAGTCCAACGTTAGTTAGTAAACGACAATTATTGATTGTGGTGTTGTAACACAGCCTCCCCACCCCCACCCACCCCCGACCATGGATACACAATTATGAATCACATATACGTTTATATAAAACATGTTTATAAATATATAATTGCAGAGATATTATAAATAGTGAGATGTACACATGTATTTGAAAAAAAAACAAAAGGAAAAGATGAAAACAATAGAAATTAAAAATCTTTAAAAAAAAGCCTTACTAATAATATCAAGGTATATGAAATGAAGAAAAAGCTAAAAGAAAAGTCGATGTAATTTGCTTTCTATCAAAAACTAAAGTTAGATTCCTTTTTGAGTCTATATAACATACGCTACTATTTAATACACTACTGATAATACCTATATACCCATTAACAGGATTCGCTAATCAAACAGCTATTTCATGTATTTCGAGAATGAGCCTGCTGTCCAGAGGGATTCACCACCTCCGGGGAGGGAGGGTATCTGAAAATGTCTCAAACCATCATATCTATATTATATATAACTTAACTACCTAAATGAACTGAAAAAGATTGCGGAAAGAATTTCAGCAATACAAATAAACATCATGACTAGTAGGTAAGTAAATTAGTGTAGAAGAGTAAATTGCACTTGTTTACGTGATATTATTGCAGAATTTAAAAAAAGGAAGGGGAAGAAGAAGCCAAATAAAACAAATATAACAGGACAAACAGAGAAAAGAAAAAAGGGTTACATAATAATATGAGGCTCAGAGACAGATTGTGATATTGAATTATGCGGTAGAACAAGTGCTCCATTCAAAAACAATTCATCTTTTACGGTTACATCTTCACCTAGAACTGTAACATTTTCCATTCTCACCTAAAATATACAATACAAGAAATATTATTAGCATACTAAAACGGTGTGCAGTATATAATATATATATATATATATATTCTATAGTTTGGTTTGTAAGGTTAGTTATGTTTTTTTTACGAGTTGATCACGGATTGATATCAGTTAGAGAACCATTGAAAACCAGGGAGTACTGGACAGCCAGCTGTTTCATCCTAGTTTGGGAATCATCGCCAGTACGCACCCACCACCAAGGTTCGAACCCAGGACCTTTCAGTTAAAAGGCAAGCTATCTCGTATACCATTCAGCCACTGGGACCCAACTCAATGGCCAGTCCATGAATTCTAACTTCCACCAATTTGTCATTTAGCGCGACCCCAACTAGTGTCATCGGTGGGACATCCATCCTCACACGTGACATCTGGATGGACCTCACTGGTCACGAATTCTCACTAGAACCCCAGGAAACTCATGAGCCATTGAATCGGGTCCCAGTGGCTGAATGGTATACGGGCTTGCCTTGTAACCGGAAGGTCCTGGGTTCGAATCCCAGTGTGTAAGTACTGCCGATGATTCCCAAACTAGGATGAAACAGCTGTCCAGTATTCCCTGGTTTCCAATGGTTCTCTAACTGATATCAATCCGTGATCAACTCGTGAAAAAACATATATTTCATAGACAGGACTGGAAAAACAGAAGGTCCTCATTACTCTGCAATCAGTGTGTGGAAATCTGTGCGTCGGTGGCACAGTGGTTAGGACTCTCGCCGACCATGCACATAGTCCGGGGTTCGATCCCCTGCCGACGCACACCCGATATCTATGGTCGGCCTGTAAATTTGGGCTACCGATATCCATGCTGAAAATTCCATACCTGTACTGAAAAATACGGTGTGGAATCAAGCTGTAAATCAAAATAAAGTAGAAAAAATAAGGAGTAACATCCGGATTCTCAAAACTCATGTCAAGTCAGTGCTTCTATATAGTTCAGAAACTCAGCATGTCATCAAGAGCACTTTCAGCAGGCTTCATACTTTCATCAACAGGTGCCTTCACTGGCTTGGTACTGAAAATCAGACGGCCAGCCAGAAAGAATTAGCAGCAAGGAACTCTTGCAGGCAACGAGCCAACCAATTACCCCCTCTCTACCCAACAAATATGCCATAGGAAATGAAGATGGATAGGATCAATGGTAAGGAGACCATGTTGAGTGACATCACGTGCCAAGCAGAACCTCGAGTGGTACCCAAGAGAGAAAGGACAAATTTAACTTGGGTCTGAGGGTGACATGTAGGAGGTGAAAGCTTATGGGGGTGATTCTAGAGCCATCTATAAAGGATTGAAGACAACCAAGCGGAATGGAGATTTGCTGATGAATCCTTATGTTCCACCGGGAAATTCATTTACGTAATCATTTTGCTGTTTAATCGAAATGCCTACTACCCACCTATTATATTTCATTCCTTTCATTGTGAGTGGAACAATGTAGGATTTTAAGCTTTAAGCTTAGGGATTTCAGTGGCCGTAGTGTAATTTTTTATGAATTAGGATGGCTAGTTTCATTCACGCCCAACTTTCCATCTTTTCCGGGCTTATTATCAACTAGGCGAGGTTAAAAAGGAGACTTTCGGCTGGGAATCGAAACTAGCCGAACCTCTGGTTTGGCAGGCAAGTATTCTAATCATATACCTCTCCAATTCAAACGTTCAGCAACAAATGAGAAATCTAAATAATGGTGAGACTATATGAGATAGTCATTGGTTGGTAGACTGTTATTGATGCAGTGGGTAATAATTCAAGATGGAATAAAAATCTGGATGGCGCCTCAGTTCGAACCAGCGGCTTTGGAATTGAATTACTAGTGTGGTGCTTTACTAGCTGACCTACTCTACCTAACTGCTAACCAAGTCGTCGTTTCACTTTTCACTCTTTTTAATTCACTGTAGATAGAAGTGACAAGAGGAGGGATTTATCTGGACAGCTAGTATGGTGATTAGCAGACATGAAAGCTGGGCATTACCCCTTGATAACTGCAGTAGAAGGATGATCTTGTAAGCAAGTGGCGCCAGATCAGTAAGTCTCAATACGTCCACAAACTGAATTGACATAAACATTTGAAGTGGATGTTCATCGTCGCCACTGGTCTTGCAGTTGCGCCATATTGACAGACGACAGAAGTTAGAATTCGTGGATTATTGGATTTCGACGAGCTGGCCTCTTAATCTGAAGGCTCTGGATTAGTTCCCTGGTGAAGTCATGCGTGTGAGGCCTGCTGAATAGTTCCAAACTAAGACGAAATGACTGTCCAGTATTTCCTGCTGGCTACCAATGATTCTCTAATTGATGTCGGTTCGCGAAGAAACCTGCATCGAAGCTATTCCAAATTCCCACAAAACCAATAACCTCAATATTTTCTTTCATCTTTCCAATATAATATGATAACTAGTCAGCATTAATATTACCAATCGATTTCTGTAATTTTTAATGCAACATAAGTGACACGGACTGTATATATGGAGTAATTTTTCAATGCATTGTTTATTGGTTGAAAATCAACAGCCTCATCTCTATCCAGTATTTTATTATTATATTATTGTTCCCTTGGGTTCCTAGTGGAACATAGGGCTTCAACTGCACCTCTCCACTTGCTTCTGTCTTCTGCTGTACTTTTCACCTGCATCCATGTTAGTCCATACTGTTTCAACTCCTCTTCACACGATCTCCTCCATGTCACCCTTGGACGTCTCACCCGGCGCTTCCCTTTCGGGTTCCACTCGAGCACTGGCCTGACAAGCGATGTCACCCAGCGGCCTCCTCCTCAACGAGTGTCCAATCCATCTCCACTTTCTCCTGCATATTTGTTGGGTGACTGGTTCTTGTTTTGTTTGTTCTCATAGTTTCTTGTTGGTGATTCTTTCCGGCGGCCATCTGATCTTCAGTATAGAGCGAAGACAGTTGTTGATAAAGGTTTGCAACAGGCTGTTGGAAATATTCTTTGTGACACACTGACCAAGTTTCTGATCCGTATAGAAGAACTGACTGACTTGACGTTTGTATTGAAAATCCGAATTTTGTTGTTGATGTTGAGTGACGAAGATTTCCAGATTGGTTTCAGGTTGATGAATGATGATAACCTCGCCTAGATTACTAGCTCGCTAGTTTTCTAGCCGGTCCCAAGCCCGGATAAAGAGGGAGGGTTGGGGAGTGGTGCTAGCAACTCCACCCCCAAAACTTAACCAAATTGATACAGAAACTTCTATCCAGTACACGACTCCAATAATAATTAAAAACATCTTTGTGTATAAACAAAATTCCTAAGTCGCCTATCCCATTTTGGAGCATAACATACCTCCCCTATGCTTCAATTTCGACATAAAATATTTTAGTCCAAACGACACAGACTACTTAGTAATAAAGTGTAGTAAGTTCGACGGGAGGAGTTAAAGTATCATAAGCAAAGTCAAGGTCTGTCAAAAGTTGACTTTCAAGAACCAGTCGTCAAATTCGGCGAACCTTACGAAAGGTCACTACACATCAAATCATGCCTCCTGCCTTTATAGATTTGATGAATGAGTTCCATGAATACAGGATATTCGACTATTGTGTCAATTACAGATTAATTAGAGTCACAAAGATTTATGTATGCATGAGGAGAATATGACAATAAGGTAATACAACCCTAGTGGGAGATAAATACTGCTACAGATGCAATTCATAGCACAAGAGGAAATCCGTTAGTGAGGGTAGGTGCAGTATTCTGCTTATTCTCACGGTACTACCTTTGTAAATCTATGCTGTTAGCTAGTGTTAGGGTTAAGGTTTACGGTTAGATGTAGGTTAAAGAACAGAGTCAAGAATATCAATGGATCCCAAAGTACCATGATCTATAGTCACCTTAATGAATACATCTATCGCGCGTGGTACGATTTCTCTATGGATTATTCTTGGAGTAACTAGGAAAATAAACAACATTCAATTAGAGAATAATGGAAAAATGGTCAGTTTTGATATAACTAGTCTGTACACTAATATACCAATCAATATGGCCTTAGAAGCGGACAAACTTCTGATCGCGAACTTAGTCATAGGACAAAGCTGCCCATTGAAGAAATTATTTTAGGAATTCAGTTATGCCTCACATCTACTATCTTCAAATTCCAAGGCAAAATATATAGACAAACAGAAGGTGTAGCAATGGGATCACCAATATCCCCTATCATAGCAGATATCTTTATGGACAGTTGGGAAAATATTGCTCTGAATACATTTAATCCTACTCCAAAAATATGGTGGAGATATGTGGATGACACTTTCACAGTGTTAAAAACAGAACATACTTCTAACTTCTTGACACACATAAACTCACTAGTGGAAGGAATAAAATTCACATTTGAATCGGAAAATGAACAAGGAGAATTAGCTATGTTAAATTGTAAAATAAAACGAATAGAAGAAGGTAAACTACACACTAGTGTTTATAAAAAACCAACGCATTATAGTAGATATTTAGACTTTAATTCATCTCATCCGTTAACTGTTAAGGCAGGCCTAGTTAAGTGTGTAACAAACCGAGCAGTAGCACTAAGTAGCACAAAAAAAGACCTAAGTGATGAAATGAAACAGATAGAAGAGGCGTTGGTGTTAAATAACTATCCTATAAAATTCATTAGGAAGATCAATAAAGGCCGAAAACAAAAAAAAATTATTGTGAAACTAGTAGTGATAACATAAATAAGAGAGAATATAAATCATCCACTGTTGTACCATATGAGGAGGAGACATCTGAGACCCTCCCCACGTAGGATTCTTAATAAAGCAGGAATTAGAGTGGCATTTAAACCTACAAACTCACTCACAGACAAGCTCTGCAGGCTAAAAGACCCAGTCGGTTTACCCAATTAAACAAAATAATATAGTTTACAAAATACCTTGCAATGACTGTGAGTGAGGTCAACTACATAGGTCAAACTAGTAGATCGGGAGTAATCAGATTGTCGGAACATAAGAATTTAGCTAAGGTAAGAATGGTTAACCCCACCCGAGAAGATAAGTAATTTAGAAAAAAGCTCAGCAATTGCACTACATGCATTAACACACAACCACACAATCAGGTGGTGGGAGAGGGTTAAAATTCTAAGAAGTAATCTAGGTAGGTGGAGAGAGAGGTTGATTACTGAATCCTGCCTGGTTCATCGAGTCTACACCCAATAGGAATGACTCAATGCAAATACCAGAAATATGGAAGATATTATTACCACAAGTCAGTCAAATCAGAGGAGGATAATAAATAATCTCAAAATTCTATTTCAATTCACGTACATCACAACATTCTAACAAGTTACTTATTTTGACTATAAAAACACTCGTCTTATTTCCCATCTGATTGTAATTGATCAATAACACTCATATTATTATTTCTGAATGTACATTATCCTATATTGATTTTTATTCCAATATCTAATCGATTCCACACATGTATATAAATGAAGGAAAAAGTTGTGTGAGTAACTTGATATGATTATGAGTAGCAACAATTTGTGCTTGAAACGTGGTCATCAGTTAATATTACTGTATAACATTGTGTGATTTATCAAAATAAAATCTTATCTATAACGGAGGTAACTGTGAGACATTATTACAACATGTAAGAGACAATTATCCAGTATAATATCATGTTCGTAACATTAAAAAAAAAATATTTTTCAACGATTAAGAAACTTTTTTCTCATCTGAATTCTGATTGGTTGTTCATGGTAATTGTGATTTTGGCTGTGATAGTTTAACTTCGCCATTCAATGCATATAACTTATGCAAGTTGACTTTATCTATGATGCAATTACTAGTGTCATATTTAAACAATTCAAAGAATTTTGAGTATTATTGATGAATATTTTTTTTGTGTCATGTATTTTGAAATTATGCCTGCTCAGGTCATTTACATCGCACATAATGGTCATGATCGCTTTCGAAAATATTGAAAAAAGCTTTCGAGTTATTATCTAATTAACGATCAACCACTGGGACTCTCTACTTTCAACGTAGATTTCGTAAAAAAAATGACGTCGTTTGAAGAGATCAATGAGAACCAGGGAGTATCGTTTCGTCATGATTTGCAACTCTTTAGTAGTGACAAGGATATCCTGGACCAACGTGAAGAATATAGAAGACCTACATTTCGCGGATGATTTATGTTTGATGTCACACAAAATCCAAGACTTAAAAGTGAAAACCGACAAACTGGTCGAAGAAGCACCAAAGACAGGACTCCAGGTGAACATAGACAAGACGGAGGTTATGAAAATAACCAACCAACAACAACAACAACAGAAGCAACATCCAGCGCCGATCATCATCAACTGGAGGGATTTGAAAGAGGTTACTTCATTCACTTATCTAGGGAGCATTGCCTCAACTACAGGACGAATGGACGAGGATGTCAAATCGAGAATCGGGAAGGCGAGAAACACATGTATCAACCTGAAACCAATCTGGAAATCTTCGTCACTCAACATCAACAACAAAGTGATTCGGATTTTCAATACAAACGTCAAGTCAGTCAGTTCTTCAATACGGATCAGAAACTTGGCAGCGGGTCACAAAGAATATTTCCAACAGCCTGTTGCAAACCTTTATCAACAACTGTCTTCGCTCTATACTGAAGATCAGATGGCCGCCGGAAAGAATCACCAACAAGAAACTATGAGAACAAACAAAACAAGAACCAGTCACCCAACAAATATGCAGGAGAAAGTGGAGATGGGTTGGACACTCGTTGAGGAGGAGGCCGCTGGGTGACATCGCTTGTCAGGCCAGTGTTCGAGTGGAACCCGAAAGGGAAGCGCCGGGTGAGACGTCCAAGGGTGACATGGAGGCGACCGTGTGAAGAGGAGTTGAAACAGTATGGACTAACATGGATGCAGGTGAAAAGTACAGCAGAAGACAGAAGCAAGTGGAGAGGTGCAGTTGAAGCCCTATGTTCCACTAGGAACCCAAGGGAACAATAATAGCAGTGAACACCCACGACCCAACCAGGGATCGGACTCGGGACCACGCTCGTTATCTATTCAGTCACCAACTTTGTCGATTCGTGATATAAGACTACCTGCAACGAATGCCCTAGATGAGCATCCACTTAACCTTGATGTGGTGGATCCCGCTGGCCACAGTTTCTCAATATAACTCTCTCTCTACCATGGCGGTAAGGAAAGATCATCAGATGATAGCCTATGTAGCTACCTGGTTCCAGTTGTATTTATCAAAACCTGCCGATTAAGTTTAAGGTGTCATTCATTATTAAGACAAACAAAACGACAGTATTATCCTCCATTGTAGTGTAGTTTAATTTGATAATCAAAGCCAAGATTAGCCAATAGGTAAACAATCCCTGTATTATTATGATGATATTATTGATTCCTTACGTTCTGAGTGGAACATACAGCTTCAGTGGTACTCTCAGTTCAATGCCACCTCGTTCAAACTAACTAACTTCACATAAACTTCTCCATGTCACCCTCGGAAAAACGCTAAACTCGTCGTTTCCCGTTCAGGTTCTACTCAAGAGATGGTTTAGCGCATGATATCGCTCAATGGTTTCCTCAGTGTGTGCCCAACCCATCTCCATTTAATTCTTCTTATTTGTTGGGCAATATGTTCGTAGCCGCTTCCCCACCAGAGTTCCTTATCGCTTATCGTTTCCTACCACTAGTATCGGCAGCTATTGATGAAAATCTATAGGCTATAGGAAATTACTTTTGATGGTGTGTCAATTCCTTGAGAGAAGAGTATGAAGTAAGTCATTTTCCTACTATGATTCATGCGTCATACTCAGAGACTAGACTATTCAAGCCCGAAGTGACTCCCCAACAAGAAGGAAACCTGGTTCTAGGACATCCTATCAACTGACTCGTCTAACAATGAACAAAATCACTTATCAAAACTTATCTTCATTTACTTCACATTTTAGCCTTTTTATTATCATTACTGCTACTTCACTATTAAAAATGACTGCACTTAACTCGTGGTTTATATATTGTCCTTGTACACTGTAATCTTCTTTCCACACTAATAAAAAAATTTCTTTTTGACATTTCAGTCACATGAATATTGATTAAGCATTTTTGTTATGGCATTTACATTTCTTTTTATCAAAACATAAATACGAATATAAAGTCATGTGAAAAGTATTTCTACGCAAAACGGAGCTTTTCATTTTTTTTTCTTTTGAAGATAGGCCTTCTTTAATCTGAAATTAATAGGGAAATCTATTGCACTCAACATAAAGCACATGATTCGGATCTCCAACACTCTAATGTCAAGTCAGTCACAGTGCTTTTATGTGGTTTAGTTTAAGTTGAGCAATATTGAGGTTAGGCATTAGTCGAGTGCTAGGTAAGGCGGGGAAATCAGTCGACGAGACTGTGAAATTACATCGACTGAGATGGTTAGGACATGTGTTACGTATCCCTAGTCATCGCCTTCCTCGACAATGGACAATGTTGGCTGACATAGGGTCAGGATGGAAAAGAGCTAGCAGCGGTCAAACCAAAACATGGCACCAGTCAATGAAATCTACAACAGTTAGTTTAAGCCGGTCACGTAGGAAGGTGTAGACTTCCTGGTTGGGGTCCTCGGGACGGTAAAAACCAATAGTTGGAAACAATTGGTGACATGGCTCAAAATCGTTCTCAATGGCTATCGCAGATGCATCCACTCCTCGTGACTTATGATTTCCAATGAAACTGTTTTGTTCTTCGCTATTACTATTCCTTTGTCTCACACCTCTGTTTACTGTCTATATTATGCATTTCTCCTACTTTCTTCTCTTGCTTTGTGTGCTTACAACGAGAGAGTGTGGTGACTTGAACTGGCACACATATGTGCAAAGTTCTATGTCGAAAACCGACCGACCGACCTTAGAAACTTGACGCATCGCTTAAAGCACTACCAACAGACTGCAGACTTCTAACACCAGCTGTCCTCGCTCAATAGTGAAGGTCAGATGATCGGCCAGAAAGGATATACAACAAGGAACTCTGTAGTGCAGAGAACCAACCAAAATACTATTGCCCAAAGAAAATGGGGATGGATCGGACATACACTACTGAGCCCGTAGAGTGACATCAGGCACCAAGTCCTCGGGTGTAGCCCGAATGGAAAACGATGAGAGCTTATAGGCAATCATAAAGCCAACAAAGAGGACTGCGGGGAATAGGATGAAATGGAGGTGAAGTGCTGAAGCCCTATGTTCCACTAGGAACCTAAGGGAATAGGGATGATGATAATAATAATAATAATATTTCGCTAGCATGACTTACCCATTTTCCGACAACTGACCGCCAACCAACAATACAGTTATTCAACCATGCATGTGATTTAATAATTGATTTTGAAAATATAGCAGAATTACTTATGCGTACACCGTCTTCAATAATAGCACCTGCGCCTATTGTTACATTAGGTCCAATTCGACAGTCACGACCTATTTTTGCAGTTTCGTGCTAAGTAGTCAAAAAAGGAAAAGAAAGCTAGCCAGATTAATTATTTCAAAAAGCATATGTATTACTAACTGACTGAATTCCGACATAAAACTTTGCACAATAGTGCAGCAGTTCAAATTACCACATTCCATTTACCACACAAAAATAGACAAAAGAGATAAAAAGACATTCAGAAGAACATTAACAAGCAGAAATGTGAGGGACAAAGAATACGAACATGGAAAAACAATAGGGTTTGATCGGTATGGGAGATCACCATTGATAACGATTTCGAGTCATATCACCAACAGTATCCAATCATTGGTTCTTGCCATCCTGAGCAACCCAACTGACATCCGGCTACCAACCAAGGGACGTGTGTACTGCTCAGCAGTTCGCTCCGTCCTTCTCTATGGCTTTGAAACATGGCCAATACGAGTTGAAGACATGAAAAGGTTGACTGTTTTTCATCATAGATGTCTACGATCTCTTTCTCACGTTAGGTGGTATAATAAGGTAAGTAATGTGGACGTTAGGCGTAGAGTGTTGGGCAAAGAGGGAAAATCAATCGAAGAGGCTATAAAGTCACATAGATTGAGATGGCTAGGTCACGTGCCGCGCATGCTTAACCATCGCCTCCCCCCCCCGACGGGCATTACTAGCTGATATAGGTGCAGGTTGGAAGAGAGTAAGTGGTGGTCAAACAAAAACATGGCCTCATCAATCCATGAAATTCTTGACAGTTAAACTGAGTCAGGTAGGGAGATGCAGATTTCCGGGTTGGGGCCCGCCCTCGGGACTCTAAGAGTCAATGGCTGGAGACAATGGGTGACATGGCTCAAAATCATTGTCAATGGCTTACGCAGATGTATTCAGTTTCTATAATATTCAGTCTCATATTCCTTTCTACCATTACTCATTCTGTTTCACTCTTATACTTGTCAAAACTCTATTGATTCTCTTCACTCGTTTTCTTGTCTACCTTTGTGTGCTATTTGGAACGTGGCAACTCGAATTGCTGCTTTTCGGTGCCAAGTTCTATGTTGAATCCAGACAGACAGACAGAGGAACCCAATCAGGGAGTTTATATCCCACGGACCCCCACATGACTCAGACCAACTGTCAAAGATTTCATGGACTGATGACACGCTTCGGTTCGACCACCACCCCCACTAACTTATTTTCAACCTAATCTAGCATCAGCTAACATTGCCTGTCGAGGAAGGCAGTGGATCGGAACGCGTGACACGTGTCCTAGCCATCTCAGTCTATGTGGCTTCACAACCTCATTGATTGACTTACCCTTATAGACTACTAACATATACTATGCTAGCTTTCTATCCATCTACTAAAGTAAAAAAATATTGCAAGCATAGTTCGTCTTCAGAGTATTTTAAAAATATTCATTGGATTATTCCTTACGGATGTTGACCGACAACGACAGTAAGAAATGAGTTTCAGTCGTTTCCACATTTGATTTTCAGCTTGATGTTATATTTTTGAGTGTTCGTTCGCAAGGATTTGATTGATTTCAAGTTTGGTTGGGAATTGACTTCATTTAGAGGACCAATGGAAACCAAGGAGTACAAAAGAGCAGTTTCATCCTATATTGCGACCCTTCAGAAGCACCAGGGATTGGACCCGGGACCCTCAGGTTACAAGGGGAGCTCGCTGACCATTCAGACACTGGGACCGAATCCAATGGACCATCAGTTCTAAATTCTGCCCATTCGCGATATTTATAATGCGATCGCCAGCCAATGGCGAGTATTTGTCCCCACATTCAGCCTGGTGAACCGCACTGACTACTAGGCAACTTCATCCTGTAGTCAGTCACTAGTGAGCTTTGAGTTTTATTACTTCCCCTTTAGTACACGCTAATTTCATTTGCCTCTGTTGTATCAAAAATTAGAACCGGGAACCCATACATTTGTGTACCAAAATATGAGGAACTTCTACTACAAGAGATTAACTATGCTTACTAAATGACTGACCCACTGGAAACAAATGTGATAAGATTAGGTATACTACCTGTGGTCTAATGAGTGTAGTAAATTTGTTGAGGACTAATAAAAATCTTAGTGATTCTATTTTCTCCAAGTTAAAGAAAAACTGAGCTTTATGCAAATAGAATGCAGGCAATCTAGAAGCTAAGCGTACAGTCCTAGTACAAATAGGATTTATAAACCTCCATTCCCTGAAGTAATTGAGAGAAAAACGCTACAAATCCTAATTTATAGTACGATTAAGCTTCAAGAAAGCAATAAGCAGGCAGACTAAAAGGTAGTAACAGCTCAGGATGTTTATTGATATGACCTACGTGAAGTATAGATTACGTGGCTATGGTTCACCTTACTGCATGTATCTAATGTTAGAGACCATAGATATAATGGCTTAAGGCCGACAACAGTGATGCAAAAGCATTAGTACCAAGCAGTCCTCTCAATTGTTATATAACATTTCTTAATTTGACTTATCTTTTCTTGTTTCCTTAAAACATTCTATTACTGAGTGACTTATCAACGTAGGATTCTGCGTAAAAGTTGAACACTTCAGATTACTAAACTACAGAGAAAGATACCGAAGAAGAGGAAATAAATCTAATGAAAATACAATGGACGAAAATGCGCGCTAGAGAGAAAAGTTACATGAAGATTAGAGTGAACTTTCAGAATTTGAAGTTAAGACGAAGTGAATACGTCTACCCCATTAAGAACCCCTTAAGCAGTGATTCTTGACATATAGACACGCAATTTGCATCCCCTGTGTGGTTCAAACTACAAGTGTAAGTGCCATTTTTTCCTCTGACAATCCTTAGATCTTTTCCTAAATAATTTTATTCCCACCAAGATTCCTTATCGTGAGAGGTGGTAGCTCGACATGAATGGAGCTTTATAAACCTTCCAGCTGACTTCTGCTCCTTCTTCTACACCCTAACCATATAACTGAACATGTTGCTCTATTTAACAAGATAGACTGGTTTTAACCGGATTATTTTCATTTACCTGTCTCTATATTTATTACTTTTAGCTTAAGATAAAGCCATGCTTTGCAATAACGTCGACCCCAACACAGGAATGTGGGGTCCTATGTTAATAATCTTTGTCTTTATGTACATAATATAAGCTCTATTCAAATTATTGAGAATGTATTTCGTTCTGCACTTCCACTGATGGCAGTCAGTGGGAACTTGAATTAGCAATTGACACATACTTTTATAAAAAATCACGATCTGCAAACCCATTGTCCATAGCTAAATCATTTGAATAATATAAATCCGATCCATTCACATGACTGATTAGTTAACACCCTATAATATCAAAATAAGGTAAACTGTGTGTCTTTCTTCTTGAGTACTTTAATAAAAGGTCTTTTAATCCTAAATGTGATTATCTATGTCTAGGCGTGAGAGGGATCATTTCAAAACCAACTTTACAAAAACTTACAACAAGGACGTTTCCAATTAGCCCTGGGTCAACTGTCAGCAGAGGTGATTTGCACTCATATAAATGACCTAAATATAATCGCAATCCAGCCAAATAATCCGCCGGTTGGCCGATATCCATCCAAAATCCTAGTATAAAATACAATAACTGAGTTTAATTTACAAACAATTTACACATTGTTTCAAAAACATTAAAAAAAACTAATGAGCCATAAAAATGTATCGAATATAAATGCAGAAAAAAAAGTGAAATAGACGCAAACTATGAAGTTAGCGTTCAGAGTGTAATAATTTTTAAAAAGCCTAATTTAAAAATGTGAACACTAATGATCAGGTGTGTAAGTCAGCTGATTGGGGATTGGTGAGGTGCTAGAAGTCCAACATAACCAGATTAAAATTTGTGTAAGGTAGGACTTGATATACGTTGTACGCTGTCATCTTTTTTCTCATAATTTGTATGACTGAATGACTGAGTTTCAACACAGAACTCTGCACAACAGTTCAGCAGTTCAACTTACCACACCCCATTTACCGCACAAAAATAGACAAAAGAGATAAAAAGACATTCGGTTGAACCATAATAAGCAGAAATGTGAGGGATAAAGAATACAAACATGGGAAAACAATAGGGTTTGATCGGTATGGGAGATCACATATACTAAAAACATCTCCACCACTGACAACGATTTCGAGTCATATCACCAACAGTATCCGATCATTGCTCCTCGCCATCCTGAGGAACCCAATCAGGGAGTCTACACCCCACTCACCCCCGAAGTGACTCAAACTTACAGTCAAAGATTTTATGGACTGATGACACAGTTCGGTTTGACCCCCCCCCACACACACACTAACTTATTTTCAATCTAATCTTGAATCAGCTAATAATGCCTATCGAGGAAGGCAGTGGATAGGAATGCGCGGCACGTGTCCTAGCCATTTCAATCTATGTAGCTTCATACTCTCATCAACTGACTTACCCTCCTTATTTAACACTCCACTCCTGATCCCCAGATGACTCATTGTATTGTACCACTTAACACGGGAAATGGAGCGCAAATGCACATGGTCAAAGGCAGCTAACTTCTTCAAGTTTCTCACTTTAATGGCCATGTCTCACAGCTATAAATGAGAACAAAACAAGTGTCTGCACAGTACACACATCATTTGATCGATAGCCTAATATCCTGTTCACATCAGGGACGACGTAAGTTGGTAAGTGATACATGAGACTTTTGTGTCCCTGATGAGATTTCGTCAGCAATCAGCCCCTTTGGGGCTGATGCCACTTACCGAATGAGTGAGGTGTTTAACACGTCCTATCACTTCAGAAGACTGCATTTTTTCAGCGTCTTCACCTAGGAAGACGACAACATCCGGATATTGTAAATCAGTAAGACTGTTCTCTGGTAATAAGTTAATCCCCAATTTGCTAAAGCCAGTTAGGATAAATCCCATTAGTTCATCTATGATAAAACTAAACAAAATAGAGACATTAGGCATTCCTAATGGACATCACTCGCGCTAATCACTTCAGATGAAAACTCTACATAAACTCTTACACAGCTGCGTTAGTTCATAGGCTTTGTTATTAAACAATTATTAGTCATAAAGTTGTCTTCTTTTAATTTTGTTGTTGTAATGCATGTGAAAGTGTAAACAAATACACTGAGGCATCAAGCTGACACCACTCTCTTAGCTTAACGAAATTGACCAAGGTGTATGAAATTTTGCATAGAAAGTTTTACAATCACATCTAATAGGTCATTAGAAACTCACCCTTAAGATGGTTTAGAACAAAAACAATTAAACTACAGTGATAGGTTTTAAACATTACGACTAGGTATGTATAACCATTGATAAATAACATGCTAACTAGTACACTTAGTTTGCATCTCCATTTGCTTTTCACAAGTAAACCTCCTATAATGTTAAATGTATTATTGATATACGTATAACACGTGGGCACTGTGGTAGAGTGTAACTCCATTATGGATAAGATATTATTTTGATAAATCACAGTGTTACACAGTAATATTAACTGATGACGTTTCGAGCACAAATTATTGCTCATAATCATATCAAGTTACTCACATAACTTTTTCCTTCATTTCATTCATAAATGATGTGAAATGTCATAATAATAAAACTACCAACATGACTACGAGCAACTTTCTGATATCATACCATTTAGTAGGTAGTTCAACAACAGCCAATATCATAATAATAGAGAATGTAAAGCCAGTATATCTATCTAAGCCCTTCGAACATGCGAAAAATGACGTCCCACTGTATTTACCAATTTGAGAGTACGTGTGGACACACATACATAGGGAGGACTCATCGATCTCTGCAAGTAAGGGCTAGCTACAGAGCATATTCCTAAATGGCTCCAGAAACAAATGGAATCTTCAGAACCTATTAACGGTGAGAACAGGAAACCTAGCTCTTCTACTGCGAAACATATTATAGAGACAGGACATAAAATTGACGTTAACACATCTTTTAAACCTATCTATAAAACGTGTTTGGGATGTATCCTAAAGTTTGTGGAAGCTCTGGCTGGCAATTAGAAAGTTTAAACCACCTCTATGCGTTCAAAGCAACAATTCGTCATCACATTAAACCACCTTCCTTGGTAAATTTTGTTTTGATACGATAGCAGATGTACTATTACCTCTGCTATTTGGTTTAGTGGTCTTCAATGTTATTTTGACCTTGAAAATGTCCTTTCAACTTGACCTAAATCTATTTTCACACCTCTTAACTCTTTATTAATTTCATATATATTCCTAAGACAAGTCCGTGTGTGCTGGATCAGATTGTTCGAAATGTGTTGCGCAAATACATTACACGATTCAGACATATTACGTCTTCGTATTGCTTTATCTAAATTCAACAGTGTTTCCGATGGATGAGAATATGAAGTATTCATATACATCTTATAGACAAATTAGAGTCAAACATAAGTAAGCATCAGTTGTGAAATAAGTGACTTGTTGTTAGGGCAGTTTAAACGACCAATTTAAATCCTGTATAATCAAAATACATTTTCGACGAACAAATACTTACGTCACAAAGGCTTAAGAGTTTAGAAACGCGAACACCAATGAAAAAGTAGTGCAGTGCATTTATTCAGTGATATGTGGGTGTATGTATGTACAAGGAATGAACCTTATAATGACATAAAAGTAAATAGAAAAGATTACAAAATATTTTCTCACCCGAGAATTCCATGCAGTACAATTCACCATCTCTCACCATCTCTGGGAAGACAGCTGTTTCAATAGACATTGGTTTCGCCTGTACATTTTAGAAGTTACAAGAAATATCACCTCAATACGTTTGAGAATACTAGGTTCAAAAATATAAAGACCAGCATTAATTCTGTTGGCGATATATTCTGATGGCTTTTCAACAAAACGCTTAACAAGACCAGTCTGGTCATTATGCACAACAGCACCGTACTTTGATGGTTCTTCAACTTTGGTGACCTAAAGGCATAACAATATTTTAAAAAGAATTTACTGTCATTGTCCCTTCATGACCATGAGACAAATGAAATTCAATCATTCTCTTAAAAGGGTAGTTACAAATGATGTCACTGTTTAGCACAAAGAATCTTTCCCCAGCCAAATAAGGAGCTGCTTGTGCCAATGGACCGCCTATAATAAGAAAATAATTGTGAATATCACAGGGAATACCAGTATCCAGAGCTTCATCTTCATATGAAAATATCAACTTAACATTTCTATTTTGTATCACCTTTGGAAAATAAATGCAAAATACCGACAACTTACTGAATTACAGTGCTCCCTTATGCTTGCTTCCAAAGGCTCAGCTTGTCGGTTGATTGCAAGTACAATTTCACTTATATCAACCTAAAACCAAAAACCACTAATTCATATTTCCACTACCTCTAGCAAAGCTTTTATCTGATGAAGTAGCATAGGTTTATTGGCGAATTCAACAAGTGGTTTTGGGATACTAAGTGTCAGTGGACGTAGTCTAGTACCATATCCTCCTATAAGTATTAACGCCTTCATATTTCTGTGAAATTCGCAATGTGCGGGAAACCTTGAGAAGAGGACTCACTCTGTGAAACACTAAAACACACGGAAAGTCTTCAAATACTTAATCCTCATCCACCAGTTATGTTCTAAATGTAGGTAAATGTAAAGAAAGACAAGCCAACAAAAGGACATGAACATCACTAATTACTTTGTCTTCTCGTATAATAGTACACACTGGGTTGTGTAGCATTCAACTATAAGCGCTTGAAAAGAACCAGGACAGACAATATGATCGTATGATCACTGCTACCTAGAGGGGTCGTGAGTTGAAGGTTTTCGATTTGTAACTAATCACTAGTTGGGACATGATGCAGTTGTGATCACTCTCAACCTAGTGTCGCCTTCAACATTCTCTGTCAGTCCTGCATTCGTATAGTTGTGTAGTAGATTTCAACCCAATTTTCCTTGAGCACACTCCGACTCAAGACTGATGTATATGGCATCGTAGTCTCCAGTTTTAGTGATTTGGTCATAGTCTAATTTACATGCCCCTATTATGCTGCTTACGTTTGGCTCCACAGGAGGATGGCACATGTCTCCTAATAAATTCTTGGTGTCGCCTACAATGAAATCGTACCACATTGAGTGTTAGAGTTCAGAAAGTAGTGGGTCACTGCTCATACTCATGTAAGCTTTTTGTCAAAGTATATGGCAACTCCATCCCATTCACTGTGTCCCCTGTCTCTCCTGTTCAGAGCCATACCGCCTAAGCTGACTTAATTGTCGGTAATAGAATGGGTTAGCCAGTTTCCTGTCAGTATTATTACTTTGCAAAGTACATGTAGTTGCAGGTTTCCAAGCTCAGCCATCTTTCATCTCAGCCTCACCCACAATGACACATAGGCAATCGACTGTGAGTCTCACCACCTCGCCATGTTGCGAGGTCCTTGAAAAGGTGTAGGCTGCGGGTCGAAGAGTTAGTTTTGGAGCTAAATGGCCGATTCTGACGAAATCAGCCTCTTGTCCGCTTCTCCCAAGGTTCATTTAAGACACTCGGCCGACACATTTTGCCATCCTCAGCCTTGCGCCACTATAGTGTCACTATGGCATGTGGTTTGGCATCAGTTTGCTGCCTTCTGGAGGTCCTAAGTCGGATTTAGCAGCATTGGGTATGTCCTAGAGCTTTACGTTTTTTCTTACACCACTTCTGAAGCGATGTAGCCAATTGTTCTCACCAGCTGGGTTCGACAGCCGTTGACTGTGGTGAGCCGATTAGCATGAGGTGAGTGGATGATGTAGTCCACTAATCGGGATCACCCTGGGAGCTTCAAGGACCATCTGAGATAACAGTGATCTTCACTGATGTAGGTCGTGCGTACGTTTCTTACGGGCCGCTACGAAACACTATTTGACCACAGAGTTGGAGCGCATTGATTCTTGATCTGCCTGCTAATCCCACCAGTGCGTTCCCAGAGTGAATGCGGTTCCAATGTTTACCGGGTGTGGCTTTAGGTGTCTTCAGATTTCTGTGGATTTATTCTCCTAGTCGAGTGGACTGCAGTATCAAGTTTGCAGATTTTAACTAGTTCTGATGATGTGGAGTTTTCATTTTCGGGTGTAATACAGCATGAAGTTGGGCATATGTACCAGAACCAGGGGCATCGGTTATTCCGCTCGAAATCATAATGTGGAACTCCTTTGTCGCAACTACAGTACACCCATCGCCAGTTAAAGTCGCATTCAAATGTCGAGTCGCTATTGTAGACAACAGAATTACAGACCTTGCAGTCGTCCCCTTTCTCAGAAAAATGCCTTCGAGATCTCATAACACCTTGAAAATTTCTGTTTAGTCTTTTCATGTGTGACAAATTGGCTTCCTGCTGGGACAGCTGTTGTGCCCTGTCCACTTGGTGAAACTTGTGCAGATTCAGTACTGGATTCTGGCAGCGTATGCACAGTATAAGAACAGGGGATACATGCTCGGGTCTTAAGAACCGGTATGCGAGATGGCGGTAATTCTGTCAGATTATTTACTCCCTCAGCTGAAGCCCTGTAACTACAGACTATGGTGTAATAATGCTCTTCTTAAGGCTAGATTAGACTTTCATATTACCGGTTGTCATTAATTATGATTACATGGCAACAGAGTTTGTTTAAACGAAAAAGAACAGAAAGATTGAAAAAGTATGGGAAAAATGTTTTCCAATTTACCTAGAAATTTCAGGTTACCTAGAGTTACAGTAATCACTTATCAGGCCAGCAAGTCCTGTGTATCTGCTTGAGTGAGGAAGATGCCACTACAAAAGGGACATCTGAAGCTTCGGTAATGGCTCGAGACAGCTGGAGTAACCATACAAAGATCAACTTAACAACAATAGATGAATTAGGTCGCCGGCTAGGAAGGTCAGTTTTTCCAAGCGGGCAATTCACAATATGTTTTTTTCGGTTAGAGAGGAAAACACACGTCCTGTTCAAAGGGTGAACTTCTAGTGTTCAACACCCCTGTGGAAAGCTTGTCGGAGCCCACCTCTCAGAATTTCGGAGGAGTTCCATACGTTTGGAGAACTCCAGTGAAGTTAGTCCATATACTCGACATTTGTAGAACCAGTAAATGCCGCAGGAGGAGAAGAGGAAGTTAATTTTCAGATTAATATGTTTTCAATGGGGTCAGAAGGCTTCAGATTATGTCAGTCCTCCTCTGTAAGGCGTGTATTCTGATACGTCATTTTCCTAGATGAGCTGACTTGGAACGCAGAAACCTCCTCTGCTGACAGCCGTTTCCAATTGTTTGCAGGGCGCCTACCACAGAACCAAAATAAACTTGGAACTAAAACAAATAGATGAGGTCGAATTGGCTTAAAATAAAGAAACACGTTTAAACCGCCTGAGGACAGAATAGGTGTCTTAATTTTGGTTTCCATGGGTACTTATCCAGCTAGACTCGGATGCCACTTCAGGCTCCTAGTTTGTGGGTGTAACATAAACATAATAAGAATCCATAGTTTAGCCATACTGGCTAGATATTTCTTGCAATTTCTCTTTTCAAAATAATCTTGGCGTTTTATCTTACTCAAGTACACACCCCATCGAAGTATGTTTTTGAATAATTGGATCCTTTTTATTTGTTATCAGAGCCTGCGGATTAGCTAGTGTAGTGACTGAATGGGTAACTGGGCACTTATGTATTGCCCAAATATTGGCTCTAATCAAACTCGCGTACCCATAACTTACTTTTGCAGAAAGCACTATTGAGTAGGATTAGCGAGTGCTTACCATGGTATGAGTGAACACGAGTTTTCAATTGTATTTCCCAAGTCTTCACGTGTGTTTATGGCAAACCGTTGTCGTCGATGTTGATAGTACTGAATGGATGCACAATAACCTGTATTATTCAAACTAGTCCTTTGGCAACGACACCAGCTTCAGGGTACGTGAATTGATGGTTCTCTAACCTGAAACGTCTGAAGTTGTCTGTATTTGGTCGTACACAGTGTATGACACATTTTAGAACGTAAAGGTGGGATTGCACACTCTCCGGAAATCATCGTCAATAAATACACCTTCCAGCAGCCGCGTTGCGATCTCCTTTCGCCGTCTGGAATGATGTTAAGAGCAGCCTGGCCATCAAGCTGGTTGAGGCAGGCTAAAGAGTCAGCACATAGTGTGGCCAGAGCTCATATCCAGCAGCATAAGTGGCCACGTATCAGTCGAGTTCGAAATAATTCAAGTAGCCTAAATGACTCGTTTCCAGTTGGTTTCGACTAGAATTAGCGCTCACAGTTGATGTGTGGCTACTAATAATGCTAGATTTGAGCTCTAGCTTCACTAACTGCTGACTCTTTAGCCCAGCCCACCTAATCTTGTGGCCAGGCTGCACTTAACACCACCTGAACCAGCGAAAGAAGAATATAACACTCACGGCTGCTGAAAGAAGTGCTTATTGACAATGATCCAAAGAGAGTGTAGAAGTAGATAATCACCTCACAGTGAAGCCACTATGCTCTTGTTCCTTGAAAATAATATTCACCACCATGTGTTTCAATTCACGAATTGATCATTGATGGTGAAATGGCTTGGGTCCAATTGAGTTGACGAGCTTCTTCGTTTCCCTACCATACCATATCATACTGATAGAAGTAGGAAACCGTTACAAAACACACTGTGCTTAATAAGACTGGTATTGTGCGGCATATCGGTAGACTATCTCTTTTAGATAAGCGACTCAAAAAGAGTTTCTAATCCACGGCACCATTTTCTGTCCTCGGATTTCAGACCCATCTGCTTCTTCCTGTTATGTTCTCATCTGAAGGAAATGAAAAGGGAGGTCATTCCCTGAAATTTTATCTATTTTGATTAGATCTCTTTTCCGTGCATTGTATGATATGGATAAGAAATTCGGTCCGTTGAGTTGTACTACGCATGATGGATATGTCATATCAGGAACCATAACTATGGCAATTCACTTAACTCTTTCCTATTATTCAGTCTCCAGCCAAGAGCTGATTGTCTGAATGCATCTTTGTAGTCTAGACCTCAGCAGTGAAGCATACCAGGTGGCAGATGTACCACTGGTGATACTAACAAAAACCACAGGTATTTCTCGCGAAGATTAGGAGCAAACACATGCAACCAAGCATCAGTGTGCTGCGGTTTTCAAGTCATGACTACGATGTTTAGATCAGTGTGCACCAGACAAGGATGTTCCATCTAAATTTAATAAGCTGAAATTTTTGTGGGAGCATGGGTAACTCACTGACATCATGAATATATAAGAGGGGCCCCAGTACACTGCTGAAGTACATTTCACCTGTATCACTGTTTCCGAGTAGAGTATTAAGTTAAGAATAATTCTCAATCTCCTACTAGCAAGGAATCCCGTCGTATAAATAAGCAGAATGACCGAAACTTTCCATTTTTAAGAGCAGTCTGGTCTGAAGCATGTTACAAAACGTTTTTCTGAAGCTGGTGAATACTACATCAAGAGGTTTCTTATTATCCCTTGACTTGTTTAGGCTTCCATCTTAACTAAAAGACGTTTATCACACAGCATAGGCTTCCTGGAAAACTATGCTGTGCGTCAAACAAAAACTTGCTGCTTACTA